TGGTGGTCCACTCCGGCGTGCTGCAGTTTGTCCCCCAGTAGGTTGGGCTGGATGGTGTTGAAGGCACTGGAGAAATCAAAGAACATGATCCTCACAGTGCTCCCAGCCTTCTCCAGGTGTAACAGCGCCGAGTGGAGGAGGTAGATGATGGCGTCCACAGCTGGTAGGCAAACTGCAGTGGGTCCAGTGACGAGCTCACCAGCGGTGGCAGGTAGCCGAGGACAAGTCTCTCTAGTATCTTTATCAGGTGAGATGTCAGCGCCACTGGTCTGTAGCTATTGAGCTCCTTCGGGTGTGGGGTCTTGGGCAGTGGGACCAGGCATGAAGTTTTCCACAGCTGTGGAACTCAGCTTCAGGCTCAGGTTGAACATGTGCTGGACAATGTCACACAGCTGGTCAGAGTAGGTCCTGAGAACCGCCAGGAGACAGACTGGGGGTTGGAGGTGGGGTGTTGGTTGAGAACACAATACATTCCGATGTGCGGAGTGCGTTATATAAATGTATTTTTGTGTAATTTTAATTGATGCAAAAAAAATACCCCCCAAAATATAATTTGATTGAATGGCCCGTAAAAGCATTACTATAAAATGAGGGATTACTCTGTTTGATACATTTGATTTATCTAATGCTAAACAATAAATGTACATTGTTATTTAAAGGCTTGTGAGGGCTAAAATGACAAGTCCACGTAGCGATGTAGTGTTTGGGTACATACGTGACTTCTCCCATCTAGAAATGACACTTTTGATTTATGACGCTGTGAAATGCAACCAGTGAGGAACAAGCTTGATTGTCACCATATAATTTACCGGAACACTCATTAAACTTCTATTTGAAGTTATGTTGTTTGGTCGCGTCACAATCGCTAACCTGTCTGTCGCACTGTCAGCTCTCCCAACTCTTTGAGGATGCCGTTTAGCAAGGAGGCTTCTTCATATCAGGCAAGGCAGATGTATTTAGGAGCATGTTTTGACTTGCTTCTCCCTCCAAACAAGCTATGAAAACAAACCCACCCCTCTGTCTCTGCCTGCAGGAGTGGTGTGCGCAGCGAAGGAGGCGTGTTTGCACATTTGAATTATTTTGTAGCTTTGTGACCTTTAAATGTTCCGAAAATAATAAAACTAATCTTTTTCACCCAATATCAAATCACCTGAAATCACGTGATCGACCCCCACTTTCGATCACGTGATTGGACTGGGACATCCCTAGTAGGTAGACAGACAGCTTCCTGTCAGATAAAAATCATGTGGTGTGATTGGCCGATGCTCCAGATAATAAAAGCATTAAATGAGATTATCCTTGCATCAAAGAGAGAAAAATAAAGGCTTCATCAGACTGTGTTTTTTGTTTGTTTGTTTGTTTTTTTTTTCTTCAGGTCAGCCCAGAGCAAAATGTTGCAAGGTTTCTTTAAAAAATGTGGTTTGTGATGACGATGTTCTTTATTACTCTAAACCAGACATGTCCAGCTCCGGGCCTGGAGGGCCACCGTCCTGCCTGTTTTCCATCTCTCTCGGCTGAAACACACCTGATTCAGATGATCAGCTCATCAGCCAGCTCTGAAGCAGCATGAGAACATTGCTGATTATTTGAATCAGGTGTGTTGCTCCTGGGAGGGCCGTAAAACAGGCAGGACAACGGCCCTTGAGGACCGACTTTGGACACCCCTGCTCTAAACCCTTTATTGTTTTGTTATTATTGTTTGCCAACAAAATTTTCTTCAAGTCAAACTTTTGGTGTAGCAGCAGTTTATGGGGTATAAACTAAATGGATGGACAGTTATAGAGGACTGGATTCTTTGAAAAGTTGTTGAGATCAAAGATTGACTAATTCCAAACTGACTTTAAATCCACATACCTGAAGAATCAACTTGCATGACACAATGAAGAGGATATCGTCGCGCCTGCATCTCTGTCATCGTAATCAAACCCCGACTATCTGTCACACACAAGCGTGCACACAAAATTGCCTGGGGGTTTATGTGGAATTCCTCCTGACCTGCACTGGATTTTATTTGGAATCCATTAGAAAGTTTGCTATTTGACTGTCTTACCAATGACATGTTAGGTGGAACAAAACTGATGTGCACATGATTATAAATATCTTTTAAAGGCTGATGTGAAACAGTTTGTCACAGTGCTCTCCTGTATTGGTCCACAAAGCATTAGATTTTAAGTTACATCTGGATTTTGAGACCACATCTCATTCTGTAGTTTAGTTCATAATTATTCATACAATGGGCAGCATTTAGCTTCCCACGGCTAGTTGTAACAAATGCATTTTCACTATTTTGTGGGAAAAATCTGGTGTTTGTTATAAAGATGTTTGTTGAAAGCAAAATCAGCAAATGGAAAATGAATTACGTGAAATCGGGACTTTGAAATGTGAACGTTATAGGGGTGAAAACGTGAAAGTGGCACGTTGAAAAGAGGTTCGACTGTATTTGAGGTTTAATATATTTCATTTTTCATATTGTTTATTTTTCTTCTTATTCTTACTGTTAATAAATTAATATACAAATTCATTATGTATTTGCTTACATGTTTTTCCATCTGATGTCATTCATGTAATTTAGAATGGAGAATTATTTAGAACGGAAGACTTGAGCAATAGTGACTAATGCTCAATATTAGTTGCAAAGCATTTGCTTGCATTAAGTACAGTACATTAAGTCTGTGTCCAAATAACATCACCAACCATTTGCATTTTCTTTGGTGATGATTGTCCAGGCATTCATCACAGCCTCTTCCAGCCTTTTCATCAAGGGGTTGTGCTATTGCGCCATTCAGTATCTATGTCCTGCACTGAAGTCCTTTGTTGTTTTTCATAGTGTGTCCGAGGTCATTTCTTGCAAATGAGTGGTTAGCTTCTTCTCGTGAAGCATCTAATCTTTGTTCATGTTCATGACCTTTGTGTCCACTGGTCTTAGTTGCTGATGTCACTAACAGTTGTTTTAGGTTCTTTCTATGCAGCACTCATTATGTGTACGGTCAACTTCCTTTTGTTTTCCCTGGTGTTCCATCTTGATGCCGTTGAACATCAGTGTTTCCTTTCTTTTTCAGGGCATTATAAATGGTTGTCCTGGCTATAGCCATTTTAATGGCATGGCTGTGATTGTTTTTTTCTCAGCTTGGCAACTACGTGTTGTTCATAGATGGATCTCAAGTTTACGTGTCGGTTTTCTTGTAACTGGGACTGATTGTGACAAATACAGGCCAATTATGGTGATTATGCTGTGAGCATTTTTACTCAACCAGACAGTGTGGAAACATGCATGAAAACAGACAATCGTTCAACTTTTTCCTGCTCAATATTATTTTGCAAATTGAAGTAAATAGAAAGTAATAGTCAGAAGTAAAAAAATGACCAAACGTGCAGATAAAGTCACAGATGAGGGAAGCGTGATAGATTATGTTCTGACTTTGCCTCAAATCCGTCACAGCAGTCACATACACAGACATTTTGGGGGCCAAAAATGGCATCCATGTGAGAGTTCCCAGGTGAAAACCACAGCTGTCCAAAAAGAAAGCAAAGGCTCGTCTCAGCTGTCCAAAAAGAAAGCAAAGGCTCGTCTCACATTTGCCAAAAGACATCTTGATAATTTTCAAAATTTTTGGAAAAACATTATTTGGACTGATGAGTCAAAGTTTTTGGAAGATGGCCCGGGGCTGCCTGGCTTCCGCAGGACCAAGACAACTTGCTGTGATTGATGGGATCATGAATTCTGCTGTCTACTGGAAAATCTTGAAGGAGAACGTCCAACCAACATTTTGCACCCTCAAATGCAAGCCCTCTTAGATCATACAGCAGAACAATGATCCAAGACACACCAGCAAGTCCACCTCTGAATGGCTCATAAAAACCAAAATTAAGGTTTTGGAGTGGCTGTCGGTATTTGTATTTGTATTTGAATCCAATTGAGATGCTGTGGTGTGACCTTGTGTTAGAGGAATCTATGGGCGAAATTGTATCATGTTTAAAGTTTCATTTGATCTGTGCACGTTGAAGCGTCTGGGTGCGTAATTCGCACCCCCAAATTCCTCTTCAGAAGGTGCCGGCCATTTGGGCGGAGGGCTGTTGCAGCCCACACTACAATTAACACATCAAGGTGGGTGGGCGATCAGAGGAGAGAGGGCCAGATCCGGTCACAAAGGGGTAACGAGTAATTTGGGAACAGCGGTTGAACAACAAAGACGATTTGAGGACACCCGTCGCGCCCAGGCGACATTTGTCGTCCGCAAAGTCTGTGATATGTTGATACAGTGTAGACCAGACCGAAAGGCGCCAAAGTGCCGGTGGTTCAAAGCTCACACCCAGGTAACCAATCACTACCGAGGAGCCGGACCAGGGGTGCGGTATGCAAATATCGGGGGCAGTGTTTATCTTGTATTTTGCATATGTCACAATAAAGGTTTGAACTCGAGGAGGGGGGGCTCTGAGCGTGATCACGGAGCAACTAAACCGTCGTTCGCTCTCAGAGATCCGCTTCCGTTGATATTGAAGACAATTTTCCTGTGTGCCGAGTCGTTTCTTTAACTTTGTCCGAGAAAATCTCTGACACCTTGAAAGGGAAGTTCGTGCTAGAAAAACCTCCAATATGGTGGAGCAGAAGCAATTCTGCAAACAAGAGTGGGCCAAAGTTCCTCCACAGCGATGTGAACAACTGATCACCAATTATCGCAAATGCTTGATTTCAAATGCAAGGGGAAAAAAATGCATACATCATGGGGGGGCTGAGAGTTGCTTTTTTGGACCTGTTTGCCTCAGATGACACTGCTGGAGGCATAAAGTCCTTCACAACTTAGTTCGAAGGATCATTGGGACAAACAAACACTTCCACCACAATAAGTTGACAGCTCAGGGTTGAGCATTCAACAAATACATTTGCAAAAATCACATATTGCAGATTTGCTCAGGATATGAGTAACGTAATAACTGTATCTTTAGGTAGTTGATATGGTCCTGCATCGCACACATAGTCGATGTGCATTTACATTCCTCAGGTGTTCCTGGGACCAAACGGTGAGGTGGAGGAATACGCCATAAGCTCCATTCATCACAACACAGCCATCAGTTCAGACCTTGTCTTGGATGAAGAGGAGCAGCATCTCTTCATCATGACCCATAACATGGTAAACACATATGTTGTTGCAATATTCTATTTTTCAGCTCTCCCTTGCCTCTTTAGCAAGACTAAGCCCAAAGAGAAAACCTTTGTGTGGGATGGTTTGGTTTCTAATTCAAATATCCCCTTTCTCCTTTGGCAGCCTATTGTTGTCCTATCCTCACCACCTTTTCTTGTTTGTATTGTTTAAAGTGTCTGTCATTAAAGTGTGTTTCTTGGGAGGCGATTATGGATGCTTTGCGTATCTAAACTTAGAAGTGTTGTTCTGATTACAGCTGCAAAAGAGACCAGTAGCTGAATGCAAGCAGCACCCTGACTGTCACTCCTGCCTGCAGGCCCATGATCCCTACTGTGGCTGGTGTGTCCTAGAGGGAAGGTAAGATGCACTACAGCAAACGTTACTAAAACAGTTCATTGCCCAAATACAGTCCGCGAGCTACCGGTCGATTGCGATCAATGTTGTATTGGGCACGCCGGGTTAGACTCTTGAGTCTCTTTCATAGACAGTCACTTCGAAAAAATAAACTTACAATTAACTGAGTCAGCCAAAAAAAATGTAGACACATCAGTAAAAGGAAAACCTGCCTAAATATTTGAATACCAAATTTATTCAGACATCACAAAATGAATACAAGTCAGCTTTAGCCTCGACCATTACAAAAGGTGCTCAAAATGATTGACATTAATTTCAAAACATGTAACTGCACGGCGAATTAGTGCTTGGGTGGTGTTGGCCAAAGTGTCCAATATTTTACCGATGTGTGTATGCACTATTTTGTCTGACTTTTATGGATAAATGCAAGGTAATTTACAGAGGAGTTTTCCATATCAAACCTATACATTCAGAACACTTGACAGTGTTGCCCAAAAATGAAATACAGCCCTGGCCTTTTCCACGCAGATGTGTTTTGCAGTCAGAGTGTCGGCGCGGGAAAGACCACGGCCAGTGGCTTTGGAGCTTTGACATGGAACAGCAGTGTCTGGCTATCCAAGAACTCAACCCATCAAACATCAGCAGGGAAGAAACCAGGACAGTAAGTGTGCAGATGAAAGGCGAGACGAAAATGCCGTTCAATAAATCCAAGTGATAATGCATTTTGGATTTTACGATGATAAAGTCAAAAGATTATGATAACAAATTGAAATGTTTTTTTTTAAATAATTCTGATTTGATGTAGCAAACGCAGGAAAAAAGAGAGTCTCTTAGTTCTTTCTTTGCAAAAGAGACAAACTGCTCAGAGGCCTTCTTTTTTTTCTTGTTAAATTCCACATTGTGTCCATTAGATGAAAACCACTTGGCCTGCTTTCTTCTGCTTGACAGGCATCTCTCATAGACAGTCAAACTCCTCTTGTCAGGGGACTCGACTCGACTCGTTCCGAATCATATCCCTCCAAGTTTCACTGTCATTGCCCATATCAGTATTAAAGTCCCCCAGTAGAATGAAGGACTTCCTAGTGCCAGCGCTCTCCTGCACTCCCTCCAGCATTCGCTCCAAGGACTCTAAAAAGAGTGGATACTCTGAACTGCTGTTTGGTGCAGAGGCACAAACAAACAGTCAAGGAGGCTACCGTCTCATCCACCAGCGTCCAATTTACAGGCACTAATCCAGGGGGCATTGACAATGCCTTCACCTGCTCGGGCTTCACCCCTCTCAACGGGACGGGTATCAGAGCCCAAGCTGTGTGTCAAGGCGAACTACCGTATTTTCCGGACTATAAGTCGCAGTTTTTTCATAGTTTGGCCGGGGGTGCAACTTATACTATGGAGCGACTTGTGTGAAATGATTAATACATGGTATCATTTCACGTTATTTTCAGATTAAACCACAAGAGGGTACTCTAGGCCTGTGTTGATTCGTTCCACATTGGCGGTAACTGATCAAAACAACTGACGATGACTCTAACGTAAGCGACATAGAAGAGGAAGTGCCGCATTTTCTACCTCCCGGGTTGGCGGAGTTGTTTATAAGTGACACAGAGGATGAAGATTTCGTTGGATTTAGTGATTTGGAGTGACACTGATGGTTTGGTAAACTTATTAGCATGTTCTTTAGCAGTTATCGGAATAACTCTTAATATGTTATGTGAACATACCAGGCACGTTCTCAGTTTGTTGTTGATGCGTCATGTAATGTCAGCGTATCGTACACTTATTCAGCCTCTTGTTCTCTATTTTATTTTGTTTTAAAGTGCCTTTCAAGATTACATGTCTGTTCTTGATGTTGGAATTTATGAAAAAGATTTCCCCCAAAAATGTGACTTATACTCCAGTGTGACTTATATGTTTCTTTCTTCTTTATTATGCATTTTATAGCTGGTGCGACTTACAATCAGGAGCGACTTATAGTCCGGAAAATATGGTATAGAATATGTCGAGTCAGAACTTCTCAACCTCACACACCTGCTGGTGCTCTTTCCCTGACAGAGTGTTGACATTTCAAGTCCCTAGAGCCAAGATCCCAGCTCTCTTTAAGCCCCTATCCCACCGAGCAGCAAACATTTGCGAAGGTAGGGAATGTTGCGTTCCCGTCAGAGTTCGTTCAAACATTGGCCAAACGGTCGCTCGATGTTCGCCAGACGTTTGCGTGTACTTTTCTTGCTGCGAGGAAATTTTGACATTCATTTGTCAGCTGTGTTGTTTCAAATGGTAGGTGTTGTTGAACATAAATGGATGATGATACGAGATATTTCAAAAGCGATTAATACTTGACCTGTTCTCTCCATAGGTCTCTTTGTCAGTTCCAGGGCTTCCAGTGTTAGAAAAGGCTGAGTCCTATTCCTGTTTCTTCCAAGAGATCCACATCCCTGCCACAGTTACTGGAAGTGTGGTCACCTGTCGCTCTCCACGCACCAGCCAAGTGCCTATGGTACCTGCTGGACAGGGTGAGGGTTTTTTTTTTTGTGCATGTGTAAAATCACATCTAAACCCATCTGTTGGAATCGGGATTTTTAATTAAAGCAGGTCAATATTGTGTTTCATTATTGGTTTGAACTAGGGCTGAACCAAGTACTCGTTTTAGACGAGTATCCATTACCAAGAATGCCATTTTGCAGAGTACGATCATGAAACGAATACAGCTCATCATATCCATACTCGTGCCCATTGGGTAACTCCTCATGTATTCATTCTTCACACTCTGTGATTGGCCAGTCCCACACAGTGACCCCCCCTTTATGTTTTTTGTTTTGTTTTTTTTTAACCGCCATCCACTCACTTCTAATTTGGCTGGTGACATAAATAAATTTGGAAAGATTTGCTCATGCGACTGAACGAGGTGCCTTTGCGAAAAATACAAATGTTCATCTCGTCTCATAGTTAAAAATTCTAACCTTAAAATAGACTTTGATGCCACATGCATTGTAAAAAGCCACAAATGTAAAAACCAAAATGCTGTCAAATTAGACGAGTATCATGATGACATTCCTCAGAATTGGTATTCCCTTGCATGCGTTGCTTACCATTCAGATTTGATGCAGCTGAATACAAGCGCAGCATATCAAGAAAGACATCAACAAATGCATGAATGCTTTTCTTGCAGTCTAGAAACAAATGATAAAATAGGGTTAGACAAGAGATTTTGGTCTCTTTATAAACACATTGGCTAGACCCCGGTGGAACGAAAAAATACATCGTGGACAAGAGAGCTATTGTTTGTAGAAAAATATATATTTGGACAGAAAAAGGAAAAAGGAAAAACATACAGATTACGAAAGAGCGTGTCCGTCTTGCCCCGAGCGTCGTGTCGTCTCAACCCACTAGTTTAGCTGTTGTCGTGGCTAGGCTAGCTTAGCTGTTGTCGTAGATCAAAGCTCTTTGAAATGCAACGTCCGTTGCGTCAGCACTGATTGGTTGAAGCCAAAAGACGCTCGCGTGTACACGTCCGCGCTGATGCACGCACAGCGGAGAGCAGCGGAATATCGACTGCTGAGTCGCGCTTAACTCGAGTGCCGTCGCTACAAGTCCCACAATGGGGGATATTTGCAAAATTTCAGCAGCAATATAGGAAATTAAAAATTAGCTAAATAAAAGACCGAAAATGCAAGAGAAGATTTCATCAAGCCCAGCAATATTTCAATATTTTTTGTTTTGACAGTTGCGATTTGTGAATGCAGATGGTGTACAATGTCGCTGTCCTTTTGAATAGCTCAAGTAAAATGCAGTTTTGAAATGGTGATTTTCTTGAGGGCGGAAATCAAACTATTCTAAGCGACCCATATGGGAAAAGTACTTGCCCTCAGTTGAAGACTAAATTGCTTAGCTATGAATGGTTGTCTGTCAATAATGTGCCCTGCGATTGTCTGTTGACCAGTTCAGACTAGACTCTGCCTTTCACTTTGAGTCAAGTGTGATATGCTCCATCCCACCTGTGACCTGTGTGATGACAAGCTGTGTAGAAACTGAATGGATGGATTCACCGCACTGCAGATCATCTCTGATCATGCATACAACTTGTGCCAGTGGTCTCTGTTTTTTTTTCCCTCCACTGTATTTACGAGAAGATTCTTTTCAAACCATTCAATGATTTTGACATTTCTACGATGAGACTGAACTGGATGACGCATTTATCCTGTTTTTCTCTGATGGTAATTGTTTTGGGAAAGCCCATCTTTGTTCTCAATGCTCCAAAATGTAACTGTAACAGTGTAATTGGAAGAATCCCGCACCCCTCTCTTGAGACTTTCTGAAGCAGACAGACTTAATCAACCAACTTATGTTAACTTTTTCAATGTTCTTCCTCTGATTTTTGGTCCTCACAGATTTTGTCACAGTCCTCTTGTCTCTTCGTTTTGGCAATGTCACCGTTGCAGAGAGGGATTTCACCTTTTATGACTGCATGGCTGTTAAGCAGCTTTCCGGGAGTATGCTGTGAGTACAATAACAGAATACTTTTTGCCTCAACTCTCCTTGATTCATTTCCTGTATATGGGATTTGCAAACAAACTTTACTCCCTGGGCGGTATAACTGAAAAGTATACCACGATATAAATATTTCATATGAGTCGATATCAATATACAGGTATATTGAAATGTATTTATTTTTAGAATTGGAAATCAGGAAGGCCGTGATCGTGTAATGGTTAGTTTCCTGCGTTGTGGCCACAGCAATCCTGGTTCGAACCCTGGTCATGGCATGTGTAAAGACCATACTTGACTTCTGGCCCGGTGACCCAGTGGTTAGCATGTCGACCTCACAGTGCAGAGGGTTCGATTCCGGCTCCGGCCTTCCTGTGTGGAGTTTGCATGTTCGCCCCGAGCCTGCGTGGGTTTTCTCCGGGTACTTCGGTTTCCTCCAACATTCCAAAAACATGCATGGCAGGCTGATTGAACATTCCAAATTTTCCCGAGGTGTGAGTGCGAGTGCGGATGGTTGTTCGTCTCTGTGTGCCCTGCAATTGGCTGGCAACCGGTTCAGGGTGTCCCCTGCCTACTGCCCGAAGACGGCTGGGATGGGCTCCAGCACCCCCCGCAACTCTTGTGAGAAAAAAAGCGGATCAGAAAATGGATGGATGGGTCGATGGAAATAAGGACCCGGAGAAAAAAAAGGCTGAATTTAGATAATTAAAAAAAAATGAAATACAATGCAATTATGAAGCAGCCAAATAAACTGATCAATATAAAGGTTAAATAATCGTGTTTTTGAACATAATGTGCTCTGTAAGACTGGTCTTAAAAATGTTTCGCAATATGTGTTTCACAACAGTCAATATGGATATTTCTGCATTTTTTTAATCTATTTTAAATAAGAAAAACAAGAAACTCTTTTTGTGTATGTTATAATGTCGTATAATGTACCAAGTTGCTCCTCCAGCAGTGCACCGTAAATGCTTATTTGCAGAATACGCTGCCTCAAAGCAGTAATGTTGATAGTTACTGTACATTAACCTTCACTCAATGTTCATACAGTGTTTCTGCTCCTTCTTAGGTTTATGTTTCTTTGTCGTTGGTTTAGCTTCTTCTTCGTGTTTGGAGACGGCTGCACGCTGCCTACAACATGCACAATGCAGGGGCTTGCGTTCTTCTATCGAACATTTTGACGAAGGCATTTTCTATTGATATCGATTACATGTCTGTCGCGATACTAATCATGAATTATTGCCCCATTATTGCCTTTTTCTTTTGATGATGATAATCATCTCGAGCTGAACCATTTGGGGAAAATAAGTTGTTTAAATTATTGATGACGTTATTCTATCTACACCAAAAACTTATTCTTCAGCTTCAACTTGTTCTTTTCCTAAGAATGTTATTGTTATTAGGTGAACATTTTGGGATTAAAAATCCCACATTAGAAGAATTCCCACATTCACAAAACGTAATTTTTTTTGGCAGTAACATTCCCAAAATGTTCACAACAAAACTCTCGATTCAAAACAATTCCACGTCAAATTCTCACATTCTCAGAATAACACACGTACAATAAAGCTGCTTCCAAGTCCTGGTCGGCACCCCCCATTTGGCCGTTGGACTGAGGATGGTACAACAAAATGCCCGCGTGAAAGAGAGTTGTCATTACTCCTTCCTCCTTCGACACTTCTCAAGTGATTTAAACCATTCTGACTTTAAAATAAATTCCCTCTCTGACCATTTCTAGACTGATTCAAATCTTGTTGTGCTGTTTCATCATGTGGACAACTTGTACTGCCACTTGTTATGGGTTTACTTGTTAAATGGCAGATAGCTTAACAGTTTCCACTGTTCATGTGCTCCATGTAATCTAGTGCCTCTTAAATATTTTCAGTTACACCCTCCTTGGATGAAGAAAATATCATCCCCTCCACCCCAACTCTCCGCCGTGACAATGAATAGTATCATTTGTGTATAAAATTGTTGTACATGCCTAACCATGGTACCCTTGTTAACATTAAAGAAAAAAAGAAATATAGGTCAACTTACAACAAAGCAAAACTTGATTAACATTCTCTGCGTGGGTTTTCTCCGGGTACTCACTCCGGTTTCCTCCCACATTCCAAAAACATGCATGGCAGGTTAATAGAACACTCTAAATTGTCCCTCGGTGTGTGAGAGCGCAAATGGTTGTTCGTCTGTGTTCCCTGCAATTGGCTGGCAACCAGTACAGGGTGTGCCCCGTCCTCTGCCCGAAGACAGCTGCGATCAGCTCCAGCACGCCCCACGAACCTTATGAGGTTAGGTGGATTAGAAAATTAATGGATGAATAGTCTCTCTCTGGCCTCTTTTGATCCCCTTTAAATATCTTTCCGTGGTGTCTCTTAAGGGTTTGTTCACTGCAATTCATACCGTATTTCCTGATCTGTGCCAAATGTGCACATGCTTACAACAACAAAAAAAAGCCCTACTTAGAGCTAACCCTCCCTGCACACACGCCGATAATGAGAGCACCACAACCCCCCTGTAGTCGATGATTCTTGTTATTTTTGTTTTTTGTTTGTTTGTTTTTGAGAAAAGCATGTTCCCTGGGGTCCCTCGCCCCTCCTGGCATCGTACCACACCCGCTCTGGTGAGACTGCCCCACTCTTTGAGAAGGATTTCATTGAAAAATCACCTATGTCATTAAATGTGTAAAATGATGGGCTTGTGTAATAGGTGGATTCAACAATTGCTGTTGATACTGTCGAGGTCAAAATGGCATCAAAAGCAACTGGATGGAAGAGCTTTCAGGGCAAAGACAAAAAGTTTCCTGGAGATGCAATGTTGGAAGCACAGATATGCTTGCACTAAAGCATGTTCTACATATGCATTACATCATGACATATCTGTGCTTTGTGCCCTTTCCATTTTCAGTTGTCGTGGCTGTGTTCTGAGCCGGTGGGGTTGTAATTGGTGTGTTCACCAGCACACATGTACCCACAACCCCACCTGTAAGGAGGGCGTAATCATCTATAATCAGCATGTAAGTTACAGCATGGTACCAAGTGTCAGAATTATAAAGCAGTAAGGAAAGAACATCACCCCGATTGTTTTCATTGCCATTGTTAATTCTTTATTTTTTTTACTTTATTTAATTTTATTTTTTTAATCTTCTGTTTGAAAGTAGAAGTGGCGAAATATTGTACGCAAGTTTGGTCAGCAGGATGTTAGAGAATGATAAGGTGTGTGAGAGGAGGAGAAAAAGTGTGTTGGTGTCAACCTGTAAAAACAAGGGTGACGTGTAGAGTTGTAGCAACTAGAGGGGAATTTAGTTGGACCATAAAATAAATATAGCAGAAAACTTTGTGGAGGTAGGACTTCAGCAAAGATCAGCTCTGAGCCCCCTCTTGTTGTCTTGCTCTGGTGTACAGAATGACAGATGAGGTTAGACATGAGTCTCCGTGGACTAGGATGTTTGGAGATGATGTTGTGATCTGCCTTGAGTGTAGGCGGTAGGTAGAAGAGAACCTGGAAGTGCGCCGAACAGTCGAAAAATGAAGGTCAGTCACAACAAGAGAGTTATGTGTGTGAATGAAAGGGAGGTCTGAATGTCACTCACAGAAACATAGACTATATTTTAAGTCTATGAATGAAATGGAGGTCAATCGAAAGGTAAAGTTACAAAGACGAGAGCTGAAGAAAGGAGGAGTTCAAGCACTCGGGATAAACTTTTCAGAGCAATGGAGATTGTGCACTCAAGAGTGGTCAGGAATGCTTTACAGGATGGTAGTGCGGCTCGCCATGTATGGTTTGGAGACAGGAGCAATGACCAGAAAACATGAGACAGAGTTGAAGATGTTTAAATTCACTTTGGAAGTGATGAAGATGGAAAAGCTCAGGAATGAGCATCAGAGCGAAACAGACTGAAAGCGAGAGAGGCCAGTTTGTACTAGTTGTAAGAGTTTGGATGTGCAGAGGAGGGACAATGGTTACATATTAAAGGATGCGGAAAATGAAGCTGCCGGATAGTGGCAAACAATTCGACCAAAGAAGAGATTGACCGTATGGATGTTGTGAGGGAAGACTTGCGGAAACTGGAGTTAGAGCAGAAGCTGCAGAAGACAGGCAGAGATGGGATTAAGCCAAAAGAAGAGGATAGACTATAAACTGTCGTAGTGTGTAGGCAGATTCGAGTTGTCTGTGTTTAGTTGGTTCAATTTTTATTTGTTGTTTTGTCTGTTGGTTTTATTTTTGTCTCATTTTCTCTCCATTGTCCTAACCTCCCCCCCACAACCCCTCACCAACCAATCCACCGCAGTTTACACTGCCCACCTCAGCTCCTGCCACTACCAAAACCCTAAAAGTTTTCACAACTCCCACGCCCACCACCACCACGTTGGCCACTGCCACTGTGACACCCATCACAGTCATTACGACAACAGCAGCAACAACTCTTGCCACAACTTTTATGGCTCCTGTTGCTGCACTGACCACTCAGGCGCCGACCTCCCCACTAGCAACTATCACCTCATACCCCATTGTCCCTCAGATGATGACCACAGGCACCACACATCAGCCTTCGAGTCCCATGGCAAGCACCAAACCCGTGCTGATCACATTTCCACCCCGAGACACAACTACCCGAGAGGAAGAAGCTCTAGATGCAGATGGGATGATGTCCATCACACATACAGACTTGGAGAGTGCTGATGTTACGCCAAGTGCAGAATTATTGCCAGTGACTGTTAATGAGGATCTAACGCCCATAATGCCTCTGGTCATCCCACCTCCTGACTCTGATGTCTTGGAGGTGATGACAGAGTCGACCCACACTGACACCCAGGAACTTGGCAGGACACTAAGATGGGTGGAACCACTCACCCCAACATCATCTGGTTACCCGCTGCCTACGCCCTTTCCATTGGGCGAACCGACCAACTCTGAATCTTCTGTCTCACTGGATCTGACCACAGTACCACCCCAAGACTCTCAAACTCAGTCTCAAAGCAGGGACAGCAATCCTGATGTGCTCCGGCCGAAGGAGGAAGATGGCATCCCCGCTGATGGGACTGTCCTTGCAGAAAACGACACTGCAACTTTTTCAGCTGCCACCGTGCTTTCAGGTGATGGTGAAGTTGAGAATGCGTCCCCACTTTATCCCCACTTGGTGGATTCTGAACTGGACTACCAATATGATCCTGCTGACAGCTTCCTCCCGGTGAGTTGAGACACTGGCGCCCAGCTCTCTGTTGTACTACTCCAAATCTTAATTGGGCCCCAACAGCCACCCACTTTCTCAGCTCCCGATTGGACTTTGTCCTTCAACTGTAGGACTTTGTGAACCATCCTTTAGATCATTTCTTAATCTTTTGACACCTCTTTTTATTTATTTTTGTGAATTTTTACATTTTATTGACAGATTGAGTTTGACCTGATTGTTTCTCCGATGTTTGTTTGTGTATTCATTTTAAATTCTTACTAATTAATGGGAGTATAAGTTATTTATTCATTTATTTATTTATTTGGGGATGCGGGTAGTTATGCTTTGATCAACTGACGTGCAAGACCCAAGGAATTAGTGTTTTTGTGGATGTGCCTTTTTGAGCAACAGGGGGATGAGGGATCCTATGTCAGCTGGGGTTCTTCAGCTTGCCCTTGTGTGGAGAAGGTCCAGGGTTCATCGTTGCTCCCTGTCAGAGTGGAGAGGAAAATCACTCTACTTGCCCGCAACCTACATCTATATCAGGTACCACAGAACTAACACACTCACATGCATGTGCCCACATGTACGTGCGCACACACACACACACACACACACACACACACACACACACACACACACACACACACACACACACACACACACACACACACACACACACACACACACACACACACACACACACACACACACACACACACACACACACACACACACACACACACACACACACACACACACACACACACACAAATACAAACATGCACAATCTCTGCAGTCTCTATCAAGCAGGATTACCCTTGCCGGTAATCCTTCACCTAAACAAGTCTTTTGTTTCTGCAGGATACAGAGATGGACTATCAGTGTGTGTTGATCATTGAAGGGCAAACTGTGGTGGTGGATGCCTATGTGGAGACTGATGACATGAATCCATTCAAATTTGACATCACCTGTCAACTCCACCAGGTTTGTTGTTAAATCGTGGATATAAAAAGTCTAGACACTCTTATTGAACTGCCAGGTTTTTGAGACATTAATAAATAAGACCAAGATAAATCATTTCAAAACTTTTTTCCACCTTTAAAATGAACTACTGCGATTGGCTGGCAACCGGTTCAGGATGTCCCCCGCCTACGGTTGACATTGGCTCTAGCACCCCCCAGGACCCTTGTGAGGATAAAGCGGATCGGAAAATGGATTGATGGATGGATAAATAAAATTAACTATAACCTGTCAGAATTGATGTTTAACACTTGAAGTTGACTAATCACTAGTCACTTCTTTCTTGCATGAAGTCTTTAGATTCATCAATATACTTTCAACTTTGAATGCCTGCTACCACCGCCGCTCTGTGGCGCGGCAAAATGTCCATCATAACCTGTTAAAATGATAGGCTGTCCACTGTAATAACTGCTGTCCCTGAAGGGTTAATAACATAAGAACAGTAAAAAGCACAAAACATTAAAACAAAACCGAAAAAAGAAAATGTGTTTAGTCAAATGGTAAAGATTGTGGGGGGTGGGCGGGGGTGGCTTGCCCAAAGTTTAGCAAGTGGTCATTCCATCGAGAGGGACCGGCAATGAAAAAGGCTTGATCAGTTCTGAGCCTTTGCTTCGTCATCCGTACCACCAGTAGCATTTGGTCCACTGACCTGAGGCACTCGGCAGCTGCGTACGAGTGAAGAAGCAGCTCAGATAGGTCATCTCGGACGAGACCGCATAAAGATTTGAAAACAAATAAAAGAATGTTAAAAAGAACTAAAAATTTTACAGAGAACCAGTGAAGGATGCCAAAGTTGGAGTTACATTATGTGCTCCCTCCTATGAGGAGCACCAGTTAGAAGACGAGCAGCAGCATTTTGGAACAACTGGAGACACTTGAGAGAGGATTGGCCGACTCCAAAATAAAGTGCATTACGATAATCAAGTAGGAAGTAGCATTGTTGACTATTTTATGTTCATAGTTAAGAAAACTATTTCTTGCTAGAAGGCCTTTTCCATGGACGTATTGTCCCCGTTCTGTACAACGGTAAAATTAAAGTCTTCAGACTGAAGCATATACCACATTATATTGCGTTTCTGGTTCATATTACACTGGAATATGAGCTTGAAGCAATATCGTCCATCCCTACTTCAAGTGTGTGTTTGCTAAATGTAGCTGGGTTTGTTTTTTTTTCTTTTGTAAGTTAAGGCTTCTATAGCCAGTTTTCTTTCCTTTGATGCTGCGGAAGCTCCTCTGCGGACCATATTTTGTGCTGTGAGATGTGACCACAAAAACGTAAGGAAATGTCAACTTGAACAGCTGCATTTTATTTGGGGTTAATCAGAGCCACTTTAAAACAATATTATATTAGATAGTACCCATTTACAGAGGTTTAAACACATTGTATTTTTTTGCCATTATGACCATCATTTTTTTCTTTCCTCAAGTATCAGTAGTAGTTATGCTTTTTGATATCTAGCCATATAATGTGGAATAATAACAGAAGACAAAAAAATGCATTTCTGCGATCTTGTGATTTCCGAGTTCCTTCAATTCATTAAATTTTTTTCGAACCTCAATCAATATCTGGACATTTTTCCAGCTGCTTTCTTCTCCCCAATGACATTAGCAAAGTCCTTTGTCACTCTGATTTTCATTTACCCGAATGCTTTTGCAACCATAGCCACAGAGAAGCCAGTCCAAACTATTTTGACTAATTTTATTACAGTTAATGAAAGACTGACTCTACCACATAAATCCTGGTAATTGTGATCACAAATCACTGGAGTCTGGTGTCCCACCCGCTTGTGTAACACTCCAGAAAAATGCATGAGTTCAGTTCCACATGCATGGGATCCATATCAACAAAGATTTACGCCGATACCTTTCACCCAATGCAGATCCTCGGAAAATGCCAGCAGTGACCATATCTCCTGAAGATTGTTGTCTCATTTGGCTTCGGCTTGCTATCACAGACATTTTGTGATCATTAAAACCCTGGGATTGATAAAGTTTTGTGTTGAACATGAGGGTGTAAAAAAATCCCAAACTAGATTTTAGGTGCAAATTATATGTGTCACAGACCAAATGGTCATTATGGATTCCCTTAGAGGACTGTTATGACTGTGAAAACCATATAAATGTACAAAACCTCAACATATTATTGCATATTACAAAGTTGCCTCTTCACTAGATTTTCATACAGTAGTGGTGCAATGATACATTTTTTTGGACCAATATGATACGTATTGGTATCAGGCTTAATGGTTTGACACAAAGTGATATATTGCTTTTTTGGAATGATACAATTGAACACGATAAAGGTGATTTGGATACAATGTTTCAATATGGTAACAAATCTTCTGAAAAGAATTGCGCAACTCCAAGTAAACACAATAGAATGCCGTGCACTTCGAGAGTATTTGTTCGCTTCAGTTACATTGTACAAATAGTCAATGAAAGTTAATGTAACTATCAACGTATACGGTGATCGGCGCATATGTGGGACCTTCTTTTCCTTTGTTTTTGTGAGGTCACAAGAGAGTTTGGTCTCACGTCAAGCTGCACTTCACTCGTTTGCAGGCTATATATTGGCATTGTCACTGCTCCGAGATATGAGACCAAGCCTTCTGAGAATTGGAAAACTCCTTTAATCTTGTGAACACACACAGCCTAGGGTTAAGGGCTAAAACAAGCACTAAAGGAGTACAATTGGCATTGGCTCTTAAATGTATTGGCAGCATAAAGCTCGTTAGCTCATACAAATGAAAAAATTGACCGTATCATTGTTTAACCTGCGGGGTTTCAAGTGGGAGAAAAAAGTAACTGCTGAAATTACTGTATGTTAACAAAACTCTTTTGAAGCGATTTGGTGGAGGGAATTTTTTTGTAAAATTTGTTCAAATTTCAGAAAAGGTCGAGCCCATTTAGCAAGGGACATGAAGTAGACACACTACTGTATTTGATTTTAGTGGGCCACTTAAAGTGATGTCACAGAGTAGATCTGGTCCCTGGACCTTGAATTTAACACTTGTGCTCGTGCTAAAACCATGTTGCTTTTCTAGTACACATATTCTGCTCCTGTGGAGGAATATCAAGCTTTGGTGTATGTGAAGAGGAGGGACACATTTCACGTTGACAGCTCTCCTGATCTCTATGGTAATTTGTTTTCTTCTTTTCTATTGTCTTCGCACAGTCTCTTTATGGCATGAACTTTTAACAGTTAACCAAAAATCCATGACTGCCACTCTTGTGTGCTTGCCAATGTTCAGTGACTCTGTACAACTGTTCGGTGGGCCGCACTGACTGCAGTCGCTGCCACACAGCAGACCACAAGTATGGTTGTGTGTGGTGTGGAGATGCACAGGCCAGGTGTTTATATTCTGGTTTATGTATTGAACCTGTGCAGCAGATATGCCCTGCTCCAGTCATTCATTCTGTGAGTGCTTCCATTTATTTCCTTACAGTTTACAATTTTTTGCAAAATTTGATGATCCATGTGATGTCAATTGTTTAAGTAACAATGATTATTCTATTTAAAGAAACTTTTCATTCTACTTCCTTCAGATTGAGCCACTTTCCGGCTTGCTTGAAGGTGGCACTCTGGTGACCATAACAGGCTCCAACCTGGGCCAAAAAGCAGAAGACATCCTCAATTCTGTGTCAGTGGCTGGTGTGCCCTGCGTAGTCGTAACTAGTCTCTATGAAGTCTCCTCCAGGTACAAAAGTGTTCAGTGGATGATTGGTTCATTTTGTGTGTGTTCAGTCTTTTAAAATGAAGAGGAAACTCAAGAAATAAGGGGGGGGGGTGTCTCTTATTGATATGAACATGTGCGGATACGGGACACCCTTTTAAACTAGTATGGGCTAATTTGTGTCAATAGCAGAATTAGCAACACAACAAGGAGGTCAACACATTGTGTTGCATACAGTTGCATGCTACGCTGTACAATCACAATATGAGATCTGTGAATAACCTTTAACAGCTACAAATAGTTTGGGGTATGTTTTGTTTTGTTTTTTGTTTTTTTTTATTTTTTATTGATGGCGCATTTACCAAATCTCAGTGGCCATGCATTGCCTTTCATGGGAATGTCGCCCTTGCCAACATGGCTCGTAGGCTCGTGGGTTAGCTGGACTGCTCCAGTTTGTTGGTGTATTAATGCTTCTCTTCATATCTGTGCAGGAGAATCTCAAAGTCGAAACATGACATTTGTATTGTAGCTTACATTAATCACCTCACAACTCAGGGATAAGACACCACACAGAGGAACCTACTGTTGTGTTACCTCAGTCCATTCACAAAGCAACATGCAATGAATGCCTAGCATGGATATAGAACTTGTAATATTTTAAATGTACTTGCTTGTTAATGTTTACTGAATGCACATCTGTAGATTTTGAACAGAGTACACATGGCTTACAGAAGCGGTGTCAAAGTCAAATGGACGGAGGGCCAAATAAAAAATTTTGCTGCAAGCCGAGGGCCGGACTGATCGAATGTTGATTGAAAAATTTAACAATTACACATATACATATTTACACATATAGTTTTATTGAAACAAATTTAATCGACTGAAAACCTAACTCCAATATGATCAGATAAATAAAGCAACATTTTCTTATGGCTCTGTCAGTAAACTTTAATTTTCAACAGGCACAAAAAGCAAATTTCCCTTGTATAAAAATACCCATAACATGAATGAAAGAAGCTGGTATTATTCAAGGCACCATCAATAGTCCATATTTTCTCTTTTAGCAAAAGTAGGCTAAATTTACTTCAAAGACAAACAAATAATAGCAATTTTCGATCATTCACTCAAATAGAATATTTTTAAAACATAATTGAATTGAAATACATGAAAATAAAGTGCAAAAATTTATTAACTATAAACAACACCTTCAAGGAGAAGTAACATGCAGTTAAAGCAAATATTATACTTTAATTTTTAAACTTGAACTTAATAAAAACTCAATATGTGATTGCACAGTAATCCTGTATTCACTTCTTTGAGGCTGAGGCTGATACTTGGTGGTCTCTCATCTTTTCTACAAGTTCATCAATATTTGGGGTCAGGCTCTGAGCTGAGCAAATCCTACAAATTGAGTGAAGGTGTTCAGCAGTAAGTCGACTTCTGTGTGATGTTTTGGTCAGCTTCGTCACAAAAAATAGTTGTTCACACAGGTATGTGCTGCCAAACATCGACAACGTTTGAGCAGCCTGGAGGCGCAGCTGGGCCATTGTGTCGGGGAGGAAACGGGCAAACTGCGCAGCACCCACTGTCGTATCTTTTTCATGCACTATAGTTGTGTCATGCATGGGATGTAAAGCGAAAAACTCCTCTGTCACGCTTAGGCTGGAGTCCACTCCGCGGATGAAAATTAACAACTGCGCAACGTCAGAAACTTCAGCATTCTCATCCACAGCCAAAGAATATGCAATGACATCTTTTCCGTTTTTCACAAGCTGCTCTTTTAGATAAATGGACAACTGCTCTACTTGATAGGCAATGGTGTTTCTGATCATGCTCACGTTTAAAAAGAGTTGCTTTTTTCCAGGGCAAACTTCTCACAAACTTTAAGCATACAGTTTTTAATGAAATCCCCCTCCGTAAGTGGCCGGGCTGATTTAGCGATCTCTTCTGCCACAATAAAACTGGCCATGACAGCAGCCTGGCTTTGTGATTTGGCTTTTTTGAACAGAGCCTGTTGAGATTTGAGGTTTCGTTTTAATTCCTCAACCTGCAGCCTTTGTTCCATGTCCATATTCTTGATTTTGTTCGCGTGTTTTGTTTCAGGATGTCATTTCAGATTACACTCTTTCAATGCCGCCACACTTTCTCCACACAGAATACACACAGGTTTTCCAGCTACGTCCGTGAACATGTACTCCGACTCCCACCTTGTTTGAAACCCCCTGTTCTCAGTGTCCACCTTCGGTTTTGCCATTTTTGAAGGGTATCTGAAAGCTAACGTCACTGTTATGCGAACGACTGCTGCACTAATAAATTTTGAAATAAAGCGGCCGACTGCTTGGCGCGTCACCGTTGTATTGTGGGAAATGTAGTATTGGTGCGTGTAAAAGATCTGTGGGCTGCCGGCTTGCTGCGGTCTGCGGGCCGGTTCTAATAATAAATCAATATCATCCCAGGGGCCACTGAAAACCTTCTCGCGGGCCGGACCTGGCCCGCGGGCCGGCACTTTGACATTGTGGTTTACAGGATGCGCAGCCATATGTCACTTTATTTATTGTATTACCTGAGGAGATAATGGTTATAGAAACGTGAAGTTTGCTTTTGTTTCTGTAGTTCAGTTGAACTATAAGTACTATAAATGTGCTGCTGGTAAAAAAATAAAAAAAATCTGACTCCGACGGCGTCAACGCATAATCTGAATCCCCTTCAAGAGCTGAGGTGCACATGCACAGCTGGTTGGCCAGCTTCAATCACTAACTATGGCAACAACACTAGGTCAAAATACAAAAGTCATCCCTGCACAATCTGAGGTACGCATTCTTAAAAAGCTAATATAATACCCATGAAAAATATTCATAAAACTTTGTCTTCCTCCAGTAGGATGGTTAGGTGGGTGGGTCGGTACATGGATGGATGGATGGATGCATAAAATGGATAGACTGACAGAGAGGGGCACTTGACCCTATTTTTCCGGTCCGTCCTCAGTCTGCAACCTGGGCACCATTCTGTCATCGCCCCTCTATCCTTATTCATAAAATAATCGTCCTCCGTCCTTACATTCCAAACGTCCACACACGACACCATGGGAGAGAGGCTTACGGCAGACGTTTCATAATTCATAAACATTATTTAAACCTCATTAGCTGTGTTCGGCTCCATGCTGCCTCTCCTCCCCAAACTGCCCCTTGGAAGTGGGGTACCCTATTGAAAATGTTCCCCTTGAGGAAGATATCTTTCATAGATATTATTTAATCATTTACGAGTGCAAAAGACTATGCAGGCATCATCCACGTATGTATTTTATCCGAGTGTCGTTGCAATAGTTAGCGGATCAAAGATGGCTGACCTGCTGCGCATTCGCCAGCAGATTGTGCGGGGGACTCAGATGGTGCGTTGACAGATGGGTCAACTTGCATGATTTGTCACATTATATTTTAGAAACCTATCCTGGGCCAGGTTTAAGGGTTTGTTTGGTGATGATATTTCAAGTTGGAAAACCTTCAAATTATATGATGTGAGGAGGAAACACCTGGTAAAAACACTTGACTTTTGCCCCTTCAAGTACATTTCAGTGCCTGTACTAATTTAGTTGAGGATTTTTTTTTTTTTTTTTTTTTTTTTTACCAATGTTGTTTTTACACAAGTGATTGTACTTGCACTGAAGTACAAAACTACAAGTCCCCTTTTCCCATTTTTGATGATTCTGTCTTGCAGGATTGTTTGCAGAACCAAAGCTAGTAAAGGAGAGAAGTTGGGACATGTGTCTGTTGAAGTGAGCGGTGGAGAGTTTGGCGTGTCCAAACAAATGTTCAGCTTTCAGGTAATGAGAAAAAAAATGTTAAAAATGTACAGCAAATGCTCTGTGTAATGCATCCCTGCCGAGTCATAGGCAGGGCCCAATCCCCTGTCCTTGTTTCAAAGAATTTCCCAAAAATTACTGGAGTAACTGGAGAAACTATTCCATTCTTCAGGAGAGTGTTTTCATTACATGTCAGCTGAAGAGTGGTCCAAGTTGGAATGAAAGCATGGACCTTCTACAACGACACTAATCACATATTATATATTCAAATCGGTGATGAAATCAGTCAATGCTGAGCTCATTCTTCTTTTTCGAAAACTAGAATAATAATCATTTTTCCACATCATGTCTGAACCTCCAGGATCCATTTGTGATGGGAGTGTTGCCTGAAAGAGGTCCGAAAGCTGGTGGAACAACTCTGACAATCATTGGCCGAAACCTTTTGACAGGCCGTCCTTCTAACCTCGACGTCACCGTGGGTGGAGTGCCCTGTGACATGTGAGCAGTTTAAAAAGTTCTTAGTGATACAGGTTTTGACATTAACGGTGGCCCGATGGGCTGAAGTTCAATCATGGTGGTGCGACTGGGGCACCAGTACAAATTTTTAGGGCCTGACCAATGAATTGGCCAATTATTCTTATGTTCAAGTATTTTAACCATTTACAACAGTTGCAGGGTTCTCATGTTTGCCTAATTAGCTAATGAGCAGAATATCAACGGTGCATTTATCATTCTGACATGCAATGTTCCCTCTAAGGTGTGTGCATGAGCAATTGCGCACTTCTCTCACCCTATTAGTGCACACGTTGACAACGGCGCACACCACGCACACATGACATTTCTATACTCATTCCTTTATTTCCACCCCACTTTAATCTACAAACAGGACACGACACTATTCCCACTCCCATTACAGTTTCAGTAGTGCGACCGAGGGTGCGTGCTCAGTTGTTCTACGGTCGTTTGATTGACACACATTCACTCACACTCACCAGAGACGACGTGCAGACTGCTCCATTCAGGAAGTCCTATTATTGACATACAGTAGTTTAAGAGCCCCTTGAATGAGGCTCTATCCTGCGTTTCAAAAGTCAGGTGGCTCGGAATTTTTGTGTTTTATTAAATGCTGTATGTGTTCCATTGTTTAACGAGTGGACAATGTGGGACCAGAGTCATACAGATTGGCTTCATTAATTAAGCTTAAAATAACTTTTGTGCGAAAATAAAACTAACAAACATCGGCCAATTTTATTATTTTTGATTCAATGATATGTTCTATTTTGATATAAAGGAGATTTGAATTCCTACATACATACATACATACCATATTTTCCGCACTAAAAGGCGCACTGGATTAAGAGGCGCATCTTCATTACATTACTGTACTTAAATGAAACGACGAAAATTGAAAATAATGCATCAAAACAGAAAATCAAGCGAGGAAATCACAAAATAAATTCTATATCCCCCCTACAGAATTTATTTTGTGATTTCCTCGCTTGATTTTCTTGGTTTCATTGAAGTAATCGTTAATTTACGTTTTTCTGAGGCGGCCATGAACGCCTCTCGAGTGGAACGGAAGAAGAGAAGGCAGGGAGACGGACAAAGACATACAGTACTTGTATTTGTTGAGACTGTAAAAACCATTAATAAAGTCTGCGTTTTAAAAAAAAAAAAAAATTAACCCCCAGCTCTCCTTTTTTCAACAAACACAGGTGCATCTTTGTCCGTCTCCGTGCCTTCTCTTCTTCCGTTCAACTCGAGAGGCGTTCATGACCGCCTCCAAAAAAAGCATTGGCATTTCCTTGATCATAGCTCCAACAGAACGATCAGATGTCAGTGGTAGTTATTTATTCTTTTGTTGTGTATTCACAAATGATGAAATCACAATATAAATTCTGTAGTGGGGGGCAGGGGGGGGCTATAGAATTTATTTTGTGATATCCTCGCTTGTTTTTCAGTTTTGATGTATTATTTTCAATGTTCGTAGTTTCATTGAAGTAATCGTTAGTTTACGTTTTTCGGAGGCGGTCTTGAACGCCTCTCGAGTCGAACTGAAGAAGAGAAGGCACGGAAACGGACAAAGACATACCTGCATTTGTCGAGACTGTTTTAAAAAAAACAACACCACAGCTCTCTTTTTTTCGGTGCTGCAACAAAAACTTTTTTAAATAAAGCAGCGACACAGTTCACTGAACCAACTGCAATAACATTGTAAGCATGTCTCCAGCAAGCAGCCATCTTGGGGTCGACATATTACCGGAATGACCATAGACAAGGCGCACCAGATTTAAAGGCGCGTGGTGAGCTTTTAAGAAAATTGAAGACTTTTTGGTGCGCCCGATAGTGCGGAAAAGACGGTACATACATACATACATACAAACATACATCACACAACTTGTTATGATCACAAGTTTTGGACAGGTGTCATACTGGTTTAGCCGCTGTGTGCATGTCTGATGCTACTCACCGTGGTCCAAGGAATGCTGAGGGAAGTTTGTGTGAATCCTCAGATGCATGGAAAATGAGAGGGAACATTGATGAAATGTATCAAATGATTAGATTAGATTGCAAGGCTACTGATACCGTATTTCCACCATCATTAAAGGAATTTACCTCGATCTCATCATTTTACACACAACCACAAATCACGGTTTGTTTAAAAAAAAAAAACAACAGTGCATCATAATTATGATGGTTAAATATGACACATTCAACCCCTAATAACACAGAAACGTGACAAGGATTAACATCCTTATAGCTTCCGTCTATCAATCTAATTTCTAACCTATTTATTCTAACAAGGGTTACGGGCGTGCTGGACCCTATCCCAGCTGTCTTAAATAAATAAAAATCAAGAATACATGTTCTGTACTTGTAGCAGACATTTTGTTGTTGGAAAAATAATTTAAGTGAAGCAAAAATCAGTCTGGAGATGACCTAGTTATGATTTATTTAATTTAACCTCAAATATTTCCTCAAAATTTACCTGATCCAACTTTCTTTTCTTTCATTTGAATATTTTCACCTGTCAAATTATTTAAATGATACATATATATATATATATATATATATATAT